ACATCGTGTCACTTCCAGAACAGAGGATAGAATGAATACGTAGAATACTTGAGCTTAGCTGTCTCACTATCGTACTCAGTGCTCTAACAATATCTCAAATGACATATCCATTTTGACAAATGCTGGGATCCGACTGGACCGTATCATGCCAGTTACCTCGCCGTCCAGCAATTCTGTGCATACATCCCGAGTAAAAATCTCCCAGTGTCAGCCAGAGCTTATGAAGGATCGTCTAGCCCTTAGAATTGCCCTGGTCATTTCATCTCGCGTATATAGTCTTTCTCGCCACTCAACGTGAAGCTTAACTGCTTCGAGTGGTAGGCCCATCACACGGTAGTGCGGACTCAAAGCCATCACATCATGACAACAATGAACGAACCTTTCATATTTAAAGCCTAGATCTATTGATCACGACCTATAGTCAGTCTTCTACCCTATCCGAACCGTCACAGGGAAAATTGCCACATCCAGTTTCTTCTACTCCAGGCGGTTTGCTCCAATGCGGCATGTGGACTTGTCGATGAAAATGAGTCCTTTAGCTAAGGCTCAATACTATACATGAAGCCAACGCTGCACCACAAAAAACGGCCAGGTATGTAAGCGTCCTGACCACTGCGCAACCTACAGTGTACAATTGTCCACCAAACTAAATCACTTATCCACCAGGTTCATGTCGTGTTTTGAACTGGTTTTGCCATTTATTTCTCTTCCTACACAGTGTGCACTATGCACTTCGTTACAACCTCCTAAGAAACCATGGTCGCGTTGCTAGTCACTTACTTGTTTGTAGCTTGCGTCTTTATAAAGATTTTTAATGGACTGAGTTTATAGTAACAATGCTGTGCTTAGACTCACTCAGCTGCGAATTCTACAAGCCCACTATCAAAGAGTCCAAATTGTCGTGCTTAAACCTAGTTTTGTGTCAGCCATGATGGCTCGCATCATGGCTGACACATGATATGATTAAAGCCACCTTTATCGCTCGCATTAACGGTGAAGAAGGCCAAGCGCATTTCAAACCACCCGTCATACATAATTGTATTTTCAAGTTCTACTTTGTTGCGAGTTTAACATCATTTAGTAGATGAAGCTGCCTTGCAATGGCGACTGAGTAAACTATTAGCGCTGCGAGAACTAGACAGCAAAGTGATGGCTGGGTGATGTCTATCGCGCTGATCTTGGAGACTCCAAGTGCAAAGATGTTGTTTATGATATGTAGGATTATACACTCCATGAGTGACCCAGTTATTGCAAGGTTCAGTGCCAAGAAGAGGCCAACTAGCCAGGCCCAGAAAATCTGAAACGCCACGTAGCTCGCTGAGTATTGCGATCCAATATGTCTCGCATTTATAAGATGAACAGTTGCAAACAAGAAACTAGAAAGTAGCGCACTTGACTTGAGATTTTGTAGCCGATTGATAGCCACAAGCATAATCATTCCTCGAAACAATAGCTCTTCCTTTATTGGTGCAAGAATCAGTATTTGTACGATCTCGTCTATAGCGATGGAGCCATCAGCTTGATGCACCGCCGCATTAACATTTCTCCAGTACAACAGCCCTTGGTCTTGACCCCACAAGTTTATAGCAACTAGGGCCAGAAAATGAAGTTGCAATGATGCGAAACAAGTTCTGAGGCTGCTCCATCTAAATCGCGTGAAGTGTCGCACAATGTTCATTCTCGGCAGCTGCAGGAACTTGGCTATGAGAATCACAAGACCCCATCCTAATGCCGCAGTCTCGCAGATGTGAAAAATGACAATTTCACCCAACAAGTTGCGAACAATTGACCCAAAGATGGAGCTGCTTACTACTAGTAGGAAGGCAGCGCTACTGACCAGTACCAACTCCATGACAAACACGACACGACAGATGGCGACAGGCATATTTGCCGACGCAGGAACCGCGTTTGGCGACTCGAGCGCTGCCAAGATGCCATTATTTCTCTTTGTCATGAGCCATTTCCACGTTGTCATTGTCTCTTTTCTTTAACCCAAAAGCCGTACAAAACTCATTCAAGACCGTCATAAGCATTAAGACCGTTTTCATTTAAAATGTCGTCACGCCCACCGCCTTTGTCGGGATCCAATAGCCACGCCCCGACATCAAAAAAGCTGTAAGCCATAGCGTAGTGACCTGCAGTGTGACCGTGATTCTGTAGCAAGGCAAGCGAGATAGATTACAATTAGATACAGATCAATCATCAATTACAATCGGACACGCACATTTTGATGATCCGGGTTAGCACCTTTCGATAGCAATAGCTGTACTACCTTCAAGTGGTTGTTTTGCGTGGCTAACAGCAGAAGTGAGTTGCCGTTAGTATCGCTTTTGTTCATATGAAACTCGCTTTTCTCTAGTTGGTCGATGTAGATAGTGCCAGAGCCTGGTACGAACGGCGTCTTGACTGTCAAAGGATCAAATTTTTGCTCAACAAATTCCTGTAGAGCTTCTCGAATTTCTCGAGATTTACCATGTCGAACGAGGCTGCAAAAGTCGTTAAAAGACACAGCAACCCGACCTCCTGCGACAGAAGCACCCGCTGATTCTTGGAGTGGATCGATTGATGAGACAGAAGGAAGAGGCAAGGAAGGAATGGCGTTGGTCATTGCTGGCGCTTGAATAGGGATCTTGCTGAAAGGCTCGTCACTTTTTAAGGTTGCAACGGGGCTGTCCACGGCGATCTGCTGCATCTTTTTCCGTTCACGCACACGGATCTCTTCTACCATCGTGAGCACTTTCTTGCGATGTAGACGATGCTCCATGCCTAAGGTATTGCGGAGGTCGTCATCAGTTAGATGAAGTAGTAAAGCTCCATCAACCGAGGCATCTGCAAAGGCGCGTTTGTATTGTGCCAAAACCAGTGTTTCAAGCCATCGACCAACGTCGTTTACACTCCAGGCCGCCACTTGCAATGGTGGCTGACCAGGACTCGCTCCAAGAGGAATGCTGGGCTTAAGAGCGGCACCAACAGAAGCTGGGGCATTCGATTGTAAATCGGCCGCTGGGTTCTCTGGCCATTGCTGCTGCGAAATAGCCGCAACGCTATCGAGCGCCAAGTGGTGCGCCCCAATTTTTCGCATGGCACGCACCATGTTCATACTGCTAAAGTACGTCATGGACATGGACATGAAGCCAAACTTCATCATCGTCTCGGTCGATTCCATAAGAGCAGCTGCTTCTTGTCGTTGTTGTGGTGTAACGCTTGGCGCAGGCGAAGGTTTCTCGCTTAAAACGGTTGAGGTGGAACTCAATGTTGACATTCCATTTGCTAAAGTACTGCCATAGTCTGGTGATGTTGTATCTGACTTGGACGCAAGCAAGTCAAGCGCAATCTGAGAGCGTGAATCCTGTTTGCTACGAATACGCGTCAATTCCTTCTGTTGCTCGTCCAACAACATGACCAGTTTCCTTTCCAAAGCCTTCAGTTCTTCTTCTTTCCAAAGCCTCTCTCTATCTATCCTAGAAAGCGTTTTTTCCAAAGTCCCAAGCAACCCGCGACGTTGCTCAATTTGAGCGAGCATTTGCGAAAAATCTCGATCGAGGCGTATCTTTTGCTCACGTAGTGCCCACTTTGCTGTCTCATCTAGTACACGGATCACACCACCAGGGGCACTGTCGTCCGTCTCAGTTTTTCCCAATGCAAGCAATTCCGTTTCCAACCGTCGGACGCTTTCATCAAACTCACAAATCTCCTGGATTAGCTTTTCAACTTGGTTTTCAACGTCGCTCTTCTCACGAGCAAGCAACGCAACGTCACTCTGCAGCTTCGTGCTTTGGAGTTTGTACTCAAGAAGGAGTTGCTTGCCAAATGTAAGGCCATGAATCTGAGCGTTGGAAAATAGAAACTTATCACGCTCACGACTAAAGCGTCGGCGTCCAAGCAGGCCTCGAAATACCCGCTGAATATTCGTAGCAGCGTTGCGTTCATTACGCTGCTTCAACAGTCTTTTCCGTGCTTGGTATCGTATTATTAGTTGTTGAACACCGAGACTAGCGCGATGCATCAGCTGCCGGTGGCGCTGCACACTGCGGCGTGCACGCCAGCCACGTGCGATTCGCTGGAGGTGTAAGCTTGCTAAGAACTTAAGCATGCGTTGCTTGTATAATGATCGCCCGATTTTCCCCCGCCAATGGCGCTGTAGCAACCGAACGGCCTGGTTTTCGCATTTGAGAACTTTGAAGTGCTTGCGTGCAATTTGCGCTCGACATAGACGCTGAAGGTTTATAGCGCACTTTTCACGGTGGAGCCGCCAGATCAAAGTGCGAGCGCTAAAAGCTCGGAAGGCACGCTGAATGACTCGAGCCATTGAAGCCATGCGTTGTAATCGCTTTTGATTACGACGTACACGCCAACCCATGTATTCTTTCACGTCTGGCGATAGTGAGTAAATTTTGCTGCCTCCTCCTGGTTGATAAATCACGTTGGTGCTTGTACGCTCAAAGGCTGGAACAAGGGGATCCCAGTTCATAAGGGAGGTCAATTTCGAGGGCTTACACTTGTTAGATAACAAGTGCCCGTGAACTCGAGTTTGATATTTTCTATCGCTTTCGGGAGACGCTAAAACAAGTTGTTGCTGGTGATGCCGCCACTTTGTGCCGTCCAGTGTTTCTTCGACGTCAGGCTGTACTTTATTGCTGACGCTTTCACATATTGGCACAGCATCCTTGACTGTTGTTAAAACACGATCAAAGAATGCATCTTCGAATCGAGGTTGTGTTTTGCCCTTCTTTTTGTACTGATACGTATCAGAGGCTCGACGCTGCGGCGGGGCGTCCTCACATCTCGAAAGAACTTTTGAAGGTGAGTGGTTCGGTATATTTCGTCTTGTGCCGAGAGAAATGTCATTTATTTCATGAAAACCAGTAACAAGTTGTTCCAACAGCACAAGTATGTCTTGTTTACACTCTTGTAAAGCCTCATGGCCACTAGGAAGCCACAGCACACAAGTTGGACGTTTATTTCGCCCTCGGTATCGCAATACTTTACCTATGGAGTCTACAAGTTCCAAATTTGCTAAAGACATGAGTGTCTCGGTGTGCTCAGCCGCATTCAAAAGCTTATTCTGCGTAGAACAGATGGATATCAGAGGAACCTTTAGATGCTGAAGATCTGGTCGCAGGTCATTGTGAGCTAACGCACCAGTAGTGAGAGCCCGTCGACCGTCAAGTGTAATAGGATTCACTACTGCAGTGTACAGATTGAGTGCTAAAGGCGTGGAAACGCGCGCGAGATATGCGTTTGAAAAAAGATACCGAGCGTGAAAAAAGACGGGAAGATCCGGTCGTGACTCTGGTGTGCACGTCAGTACCTTTGCAGTATCATGCAGAAATTGAGCGAGTTGTGGATCCACATGGGTAAAACTATTGAGAAGCACAAGTGAGCGAGTGTTTATATCGCGAGACTGCAATGCAAATCGCATGGCAATATTACTACCGTTGCCAATTCCAATTAAATGATACGGCTTGTCTCGTAATGATCGTTTGCCACCTGGAACATCAGTCACATGATTTAGAAGCGCAATAAGACACGTCGCGTGAAATTTGTTGTGCAGTAAAGTGCCTCGACGCCACGTCGTATACGCCTGACCCGGATAGTTCCACAAGAGCGCTTGAACGCGGCCAGAATAGCGTGTAATCAATGGCTGCAGCAGAATCTGCAGACGCTCGTAAGTATCGTACAGATCATGCACAATAACGAGATTAAAAAAGGTCTCACTCAAGTCTGTATCCAAATCGCTTATAGTCGTCCGAGTACCACCCATCACACAAAATGGTATGGCAGTCTCGGCGTCCATATGAAATATGCCGTGAATTACGTCGTCCCGTGCATCAACTTTTCCATCAAGACCAGGCATCGTCAGAGCTTGGGAAATTTCCAGTCGATTTTGGTGTCTTTGTTGCCTTCTTCGCCGTTTGTCCTTTGCTTTTTCGAATTCTAGTGAAGACAACGATGATCGCTGACAAGAAAACCGTGTATTATGGATTTGTGGAGCTGCCCGAAGCATGCGAAGAAGTAATGCGCTATCAATCGGCTTTCCGATGCAGCCATCCATACCGCTGTCTTTGTACAGCTGAAGATCATTCGGCGTCAGCTCGGAGCTTATGCAAATTACCGTTGAGAAGGCATGTCGATGAAGACTGCTCTTGAGCTGTGACTGCCGCAGTAGTCGACAAAATTCAAGTCCATTTAGGTCGTCTCCTCCCAGTTGTCGCTCGATAAGTATTACATCATAATCAAAGTCCTGGGCTACACGCAACGCGAGTCGACCATTTGTCATACTCTCGATTTCAAGCGCAATAGTAGACGATTTAAGACTTTGAAGCATTCGATGCATGTCGTCCAGCAATGCAGTGTCTGAGGAAATAAGAAGAAGTGATAGCGCGATCGCTAAGCGATCAGCTGTCGTGGATCGATTTGCTGTCAATTCTTTTCTAAAGAATTGTCCGGGTTCAAGGGACGGTGCTTTAATGAATTTTGTCACGCCGCGCAAGTAATTGTCTATGCCTTTACAAGTTTCATTGGTTTGCAAAAGCAGCTTTTTTTCACGCGATTGGCCTAATGAAAAAGTCGAAGGAGGTTTTGTGTCACTCCTTGGTAATGCAGTAGCTTGTATCGAGGGCATCGTAACTGTATGTTGACTTGCCAACTTGGCTTGATTCGTCTTACCAAGATCAGCTTGATTTATAGCAGTATTGCCACTAGAAACTAAAGCTGGTAATATTAAAGAGCTTCCGGCATCATCGACGTCGTCGCTGTGTTCGCTCAACTCACTAACCGGCAAAAGCTCGTACTTCTTTCGTCGCGTTTTCCTGTTTTTGTCTCGAAAATTCAATGCCACCTGCTCTTTCAACTTGCTCTTTATTCGATTTCGCTGATGATTAATAAGTCGCCTCTTTCGCTTAAGATGCTGTTTTTGTTGTTGCACAACAACCTTTTCATCTGCTTCAAGTGTTCCGAGCGTCAGCTGTCGTGCGAGATCTAATAACGTGTATACAGCGTAGCATCTTTCACAAACGCGTACTTGGCGATAGTAACTTGCCACATGATCCACTTCTCCATACCCACGCGATCGAGAATTTTCACGTAGCTCCTGAGATAAAGTGTTTTTAAGGAAACGGGACTGTCGTCGTCTTCCAATCTGTATCGGGAAGGTGGATATTTCTGTAACAGACTGCAGATAACCAGAGTTTCTTATTGTTTTTTGCCAATGCTCTCTGTTTTTTCTACTTAATGCAATATTTTTGTACGTGATGACCCGCATCTCTTGATGATTCATTTCTTCGGTATTTATTCTTGTCGACTGAGCAACTTCCATTGCTACCAAAAGTCGATCTAAATGCACATCTCCAAACGCGTCAAGTTCGTGTTTAGTGAACAAAAGTGCCAGTGCCGATGCTGCAGCAGATTTAGGCGGTACTACAGCTCGTCGTCCATCTTGATGTCCATTTTCCTGACTCAATTGCAATCCAAAATTGCAAAATTCACCATTACACTTAAAAGGCGTCGGAAACGAATGTGATTGTTTCGAATAAGCTGAAGAATGGATGTCAATAATCAGCGTTTGTGGTGGTGGCATATCGTCAAGTTGCCCAAGGTCATGTCAATAATGACACAAAGTGCTATGATTAGCGAAGAGATCCAATTGCTGATTGGTCAGCTTAAATAGCATGTAGCCATTTCGATGCTAAATGTGACTGATGAGTGGCAGTCGGCAGCTCCGTATTCCTCCCAGTGCCTACCTGCGCATCGACGCATCCGGTTCATATATCCACCGTCGTTGCATTGTGGAGTATGACGGTACGAACTTTTGTGGATCGCAAGCACAGGATCAGCCACGAAATATGCGAACGGTACAGGAAATTATCGAAGACGCACTACGTCGCACGACGGGCGAGACGACGCTTCCGAGACTGCGCTTTGCCTCACGTACTGACGCAGGTGTGCATGCTTTAGGCCAAGTGATTACTATTTACAGTCGCTGCATCGAGTCAGATCGGGTCTTGCGCGATGCACTTAACAACCGTTTGCCTCAAGACGTTCTATGTCGCAGCGTAGTTACACTAAATGATATTAACTTTGATCCGTGCTATGATGCCAAGTGCAAACGCTACGAGTATAGACTCGTTGCTGGCGGACTTCGTCCTGTTGGAAGTCGTCAGAACGTCTGGTACATATCTAAACGACTCAATGTCGCTAAAATGCAAGAAGCCATTGATCATTTGATGGCTCCCCCCACGACAAAAGATTTTTCGTCTTTTACGCCTCATAAAGCAGGAGATGGAGAACATGACAATGTTTGTACGATCTCAAAAATTAAACTCCATTTGGAAACTGTGGACAACGAGAAAGATGTTCAGTATCAAGAGGATGTTGCCACTAAGATACGCCTCTGTTTTGAAGGTGACCGATTCAGGTACAGAATGGTACGAAACTTGGTGGGCACGATCGTTGATGTAGGCTTAGGAAAACTTAATTCTGACGATATTCCAACGATTATAGCGGCTAAAAGTCGAAGAATGGCTGGTCAAGGTGCACCTCCACAAGGTTTGTCATTGATATGGATCAAGTACGACGAATAACTAACCCATTTTTCTATAAAGTTACTTTATCGATCATAACAGTGCCCGCGTTTTTAAAATTCGTACCATTTTTTGTTAGCATTCTTCTCGTTAAAAGCCTTCATCGTTTGGTAAAATTCCTCAGATGTTTTCTTCATTTGCTCCGTCTTCAGTCCAAGATCGTTCAACTTCTCCCCCCGTTCTACCAGCCGCTACATCAGAAATCAAGTTAATGAGTTGATCCTAAGCGTTTACAATCGTTCCACTTTACCTGTTGTGCCTGCATGAGCGAATCTTTTGTACCACTCAATCCTAGTTCAGTCTTCGCGGTGTCATCGTTAACTATTGCAGAGCGATCTCCTAGCAGTTGCTTGCGCTCTTCCGCTTCAGTTGAGAAGTGAAATATTTGATTTAGGTCTTTGGCGTCTTGAGTCACGCTAAGAACTAGTTTTTTGAACATCTTACTAGCATCAGCCCCCATGCCTCGTTTTTTGCTATTTGAAATTGTCGCTGTTATTGCTTGTTTCAGGATATTTTGACATTCAGGTCGATGTAGACGCGTCTTAACAGGATTGCGCTCAAGCACTGCGCTTTCCATAGCCGTAGCCTCCGCGAACAAAGAGTACCGTTCAATTTCCCCAAAGGTGTTGGCAACAATAACTTCTCCACCAAACGAAATACCGACGAGTCGACTCACCAGGTTGGTGCACTCAGTGTCATAAATCAAGTGTAGCGAAGGCAATGACAAAATATACACTCGATTGCTCTGATCAACGACTGTCAGACAATTTTCGATCGTTTCACCCACTGGAACTCTGACAACCGACATGGCAACCACAGGTCCCTGGAGCTCCATACTCGTCAGTGGTTGAATCGGGCAATCCTTTGGCCCCCTTGCCATTTCTGCTGCTTGAGGGACTATCGCTTGGAAAATGTGAAGCATTCGACCACAAGCACAGACTAGAAAACGAGGTCCTTCAATCGCAGCAGCGCACGTTGAATCTTCAGCCTGACTATTGAATGTATTCGTGTCGACGCTCTTGGATATCTCGCCGAAACCGTGAGCGAACACAAGTCGTTTTTCCCGCTCTTGCAGCTTTTCAAGCACCCTGCACACTGCATCACGATCAAACAGCGACACGTCTACGCCGTTGATCTCTATCAGTGTGTGACCTATGCGAACTCCGTTTTCCCGTAGTAACGCTGAGGTATGACTATCCTCTGCATACTCCTGAACTACTGCGTGTTGCTTTACCTCCATACAAAGATGTAAACCAAGTGAGCCTGGAGGAGCTGTCACGTAAACGTGATCACATGGGCTCCAGCTCAGACCCTTCGTCTTCAATTGTTCGCTTCTTGCTTCCGTCAAGAGCTGATGCGTCAGTTCAAAATCCGCATCAGGAGAATGTGTGTGAGTGACGATTTCTGAACTTTCTGAGACCTCTGGCATCACCTTATCTAACGACACAGGAGGCTTAGATCCTTCGGCCTCATTCCAGTCGCGTCCAGGTAATTCAATACGTTTGCCATGTTCATCAATAAGGAGAATTGAAGCCAAGTTTGTCGCCTTTTCACTATTCACAAGTGTTTCGCCCATTTTTGTTGCAGACTGGACATGAAACATTTCGATTTTATTACTGCCACGTCCAACGAAAAGTACAGGAATGACCTCGTGATGATGCATCATGATCGGGGAATTCATGTTCTCACTATGGCTTGCCATGCCGAACAATCCTTTGCCATTACTTGCGTTACTGTCAGGCCCTAAGATTGTCGAAAATTCGCTGCCAGGGATCTCAGTAGTTTGCACTAACTCACTCATAAGCAAAGAGTCCACCGTCACGGATTCGTCGTTGTGTCGTAAAGAATTACTTACCAACACTTGAAACTGTTGCGTTTTAGTGTCGATAAGTGACGTCGTTCCTACTGCATCTGCAACGGCCACGTATCCGTAAAATGATGATAAGACCAGCTTTGTCACCGGTTCGGTGTGAATATGAAGCGAAAAGCATGGAATGAAGCCCATTGCATCTTTTCGTTGCATTTGTGACATTGTTTCACCCGTGGACGTCGACGCATTCTGCTCTTTGAGCGCACCAGACGAGAAATCAGGTTGACTTGATTCACGCGCCTTAAAATCCATAATGGTAATTTCACCAGAGGTAAATCCCAATACAAGCGTACGCGAGGCAGGACAGAAGCTTATACACGTGATCTCGGTACTCTCTGGCGAGCAAGATCGATGCAGTGATGCATCTGCAACATGAAGCAAGCGAAGTGTACCTTTGCTAGACTGATCTTGTGCTACTCGAGTTTCCCAGAACAATACACAACCATTTGCATGACCTGTTAGAAGCAACACACTGTTTGGTTCAATACCTGTGCTCTCTGCAGTGACAAATCTATTTGGTAATGGATCTAGCACACTGCCACCGCTTAGTGGCCACTCAAACTCGCCACTTGATGTCACACGATACATTGCACTATATTTTGCTTGATCGAAGGTCGACTGGAGATCACTTTGTAATGTGTCGTTGGCATGCGACAAATTGACAACCGCGAAGGTCGTGAGTGGACTCAGTTGCAAGAGTGGTGGAATGATGGCAGCTTCTGGCAGTCGGTTTATGCGCCACTCCCACTCCTCTTTACATTCGCCGGGCTTAATAAAACATGGCAGACACTGAACACTGACAGTTGGCAAACAGCCATCTAATGGGTTACCAGAGAGTACAATGAGCGACAATGGCGCTACATGCGTACTACTATCCATGTGGTTTATCGCAGCTTCAAAAGCTCTGATTGAAGCTTGATTAATCGACTCAATTGTTGCCACACGCCACGTCAACTTGTCAGCTTTGTACAGATCGGCAGCTAAATCTTCGCTATTGCGTCCATCAGTCGGTGGGTAAATTAAAGTTAAGCCACTTGAATCACTTGTTTGAGAAAAGACTATGGCACCCGATGATGCAGCATGTTTTGATGTTGGAGGAGCACAAAGCCATTTGATTTGCCCCAACGACTTACCACACGTTGCTGCACATCCTAACACCTCACGATACAAACCCTGGGTTTTGTCGACACGAAAGACGGCAATGCCGCCATACTTATATCCTGCTACAAATCTTTTGCCACTTGAATGCCATGACAAACATTGAGGTGAATTACAAACCGACGCATCATTTTGCGACTCTCGACATGCTTCTTTTTGCGTCTTAATCGAAAGTGTAAACTCCCGTATGACTCTACGCTTTGTAAAGTCCCGCAACAGCACGGCAGGGTACGTATCATAGGCAATAAGTAGTAAATTTGCATCTTTTGGATGCGTTGCTATAGCTGTGACGCCTTCGCAATGCGAGATTGAGAGATCCTGAGGTCGAATGACGTACGTACTGACTCGACCTGTAGCTTCGTGCACAACGTGAATTTCCCCGTCGTCCGTTGCCACAAAAAAGAATGGTGAATCAGTATACTTAAGAGTCTCAATACTTGTGATTATACTCGTTGTCCATGCGTCCGACACACAACTGAGTATAGTACCGGATGCTAAATCAAACACACGTATGGAGCTGTCCGAGTAAGCTACGACCAAATGCTGGTGTGCCGTGAATTGAAGGTGAGTGACACCCACAGCCAAGTGGGATACGGACTCAGGACCCTCGGTTAAAACCTCGAGTCCGTCGGTACCATAGAATTTGACGGTCCCTGATGCTGTACCGACTGCTAAAATCCCAAGCGACCCACAGAATGCCAGAGCATTAGCATTACTCGGTACGCCATGATGTGCTGTTAAATGCAGTTTAAACATTTCTTGATCTAATGAAGTAGGTCGAGATAAAAGCACATTGAGCGCTGAATCCGAAGCTGATGACTGATGGCTTGCCTTGTTCCCCATGCGACTTGTCGAATCAAAGCTTCAAGGTGGCAGTCAACATAACAATGAAGTGATAAATCCTCTAACATGTAATATACGTGCTCTTTTTGTAATATCTAATAATATTTAATATGATAGTCAAGACACTTCCAAATAGTAATACAATAGTACATTCATGATGCGACTGGGCGTCTTCCGACGCTGTTTTAGCAGAACCCAACGGTTAACACAGTATAAAAATGATGAATCACAGTATCCTATCTGGCCTGACGTATTTGCTTACGCGGATGGCGCATCACGTGGTAATCCCGGTCGAAGTGGATGTGGTGCTCTTTTAGTAGATCCGATGACGGGCAATGTCTTGGCTACTGATGCGAAATATGTGGGTGACTACGAAACGAATAATGCTGCTGAATATCATGGACTCGTACTAGCACTGCAAATGGCTCAGCGACACCAAGTCACACACGTGCATATTCGCATGGACTCACAGCTCATTGTGCGACAGATGCAGGGCCAATATCAAGTCAAAGCCGCAAATTTGCGGAGACTTTACCAACAGTGTAAGGACCTTAGCGCTAAGCTGCCCCACGTTACCTTCACCCATGTGAACCGAGAGAAGAATGTTAAAGCTGATCAGTTGGCTAACGAAGTTATTGATGCACATGCTGCCTCGATTGAGGGAGACTTGATAGATCACTAGTTCCTAGCGCCGTCTTTGAAAGCTTCATAGATCACAAAGTTTGAGCGCCTCTACTTGATCAAAATCATGCTTTTTAAATTAGATATGCGATGCATAGCAATAGATAATGAGTCTTAGAGGACAGATAAACGCGGCACGCTATTCAGTCACCAACTTAATAAAACGTTTCTGTCGTCGCTGGAAGCTCCAAACCTCAATGCTTCTACTTGATAATCTTGCCCACGACTGGGTACTTTTCCTTAAACTTATCTTCCCATTTATTGAGCGTCTCCAGCTGCTTTTCCGTAAGGCCTTCCAGCGTTGGATTGTCAAGGTACTCATCCACAAAGGACATGCAAGCGAGCGAGCGTGAGCAGTCACGGCCAGCAAATTGTTTGTAGCCACCATCAGGTCCATAGTGATTCAGACCATCTAGCGTCACATCATAAATGTTGCCCTTAACAGCCACATATACGATCTGGCGAGGATTGTCGACGCCATTAAATTGACGCAACTGTTCAAGCGTCAGGTCGCGGCGGCGTAGCACACGCCCAACGTTTGGGTAGCTATTGTAGACGCTAAATTTAGCGACCCAATCGTTTAGCGTCTCCTTGTCCATAAAACTTAGATCCGACAGATCATTACTCTCCAGATCCTCTTTCTCAAACGACATTTTCGCTAGTGCACGTGACGCGTCCCGGCCAGCAAACAAGTGATAGCCCTCCCCTGGACCGTAAAAATCACGCTTGCGACTCACATCATAAATTTCGTCAAGAATGGCTATGTAAATGGGCCGGCCATTTTCGCCGTTGAAAGGCAGCAGCTCTTCCGGTGTATAAAAGCGCCGCGTAACAGGCTTTTCGCGCTCTGCCTTGAGCATCTCCTGTCGCGCCTTGGCCGCCTCATACGCTCGTTGTTGCGCTATATCCGCTCGTACATTCATGTACTTGATGATAATTGCAGCACCTACAGCCACACCCGCTCCGACGAGGAGGTTGCTGTCGGTATTAAACAGGAACTCAAGCATATCTCGAATTCGAAGATAAACAAAATGGGGTATTACGTTTGAACAAGGTCATGTAGATGATCACTTTAGACGGGATCTTCTATTCTACATTGTACTTAGGCTTAAATCAACTGTGTCACATGGTTACTAAAATTTTAATTTGTAAATCAAGCACGGCGAACTTCTGTGAACGAGTATTCAATCCAGACTAAAAAGGTGTCAGCCTGTAAAGATTTCCTCCAAATGTCCAATATATCTGACACGTTGGTTCTAATGCCTAGCGAGCTCAAATCTCGCCGGTCTGTAGGACCGCCACGTACAGCGCACATAGAAATACCGCATTGAGTGCTTTTATTTTCTTTGTAAACGAACAAGTAGTTTACTGTGAGGGTCTAGCACGAAACCTCATTTGGAAAGGAATGAGCTCCCGTTTACACCATTGTCCTTTTAGGGTCTCAATCCATTGAGGAGCATTATACAGTGGTCAACTACGAGTTCCGATGTCAGAATGACGATACTTCAAACAAGACATGTCTTCGCACAAGAAGAGCGTCGTTTTGGTATTACCATTTAGGATGATGATCGGTATACATCAACAGCAAAAGTAGCTAGTTGAATTTTAACAGTGTGAAAGTACTTCCTTCCTGCTTGTTTCCTGAGATTTGGGTTCCACGTCCTAGAGATGGTATCCTTTGAGTCCATAAACGCAGCACTACAAGGCAAAAGCCTCTTCCGCACAATTTTAGCCCCGCCGTAGTTGCACTCGTCGTTAATCCAACGACTTAGTGTTAAGAGGACTGTACCCTTTTTGAAGATGGAAGATGACATATTCGCATCGTGCCCCGGGTCAGTGATACGAACAATCGCAATCTGTTGGTAAGTACAAATGGTGGTCCAATGCAGCGGGCTGTCGTTGCTCTTTCGCTTAGAGGAAGCTTGGTTAAGGTCGGTGACCTTCGTTTATACTATGAACCAGTACGAGTGTAGCGGATCGCGATCCACTTATTCCAAGAGTAATTGCAATCTTAACCCAAGACTAATTATCTCTTCTATTTGAAACGAAAACTTTATTACTCGATTTTATTTGCGGCAAAGCCGCCTATATATAAATCTATAGGTTTATATATCTATATAGCAAAACCTAATTAAATGTATAGCGACTGGCTGTTCCAGCCACGTACCGATTGTTCCAGTGTAGCCTCATCATTGTGTGGTCACACCATTTTAGGTAACCCTCACAGTTCATACAGGGCACGTGAAACACCGTTACACTCTCCCCGTCAAAATTCTGAGCACCTACAGTTCACATTCAACCGTCGCCTCGAAAGAGGCTAACAACACCACCAGGAGATTTATCACGAAATCGCTGCTCTATGAGCCCTGTGTCGATGACACGGAAGTCACCCAACCTCGCTGGTTCCCGGATCGCCCGCGGGCAGAGCCTTTCTTCATCTCCTGCACGTGGTGCACCTTTGAACAGCACGTCCGCGGCTTCAAGAGAAGCACAACCCAAGCTCTCGGTAGCCGAGTATCGCGCAGCGCATTGCCAGCGACAGGATCGCACAAACAACAACACAGACGCAATGTCTACTCCCGCCCGCGTACCACGCCCGCCACGGGGATGAATCACCTCGTCGAGGATTCGGAGGAGGTCGACTACGAGTCGAATATCCCTTTTCTAGAATGGAAAGAAGAGGAAGGCGAGGTGCGCCACCAGCGCGACGTGAGCCCTTCTCAAACCTTGCGGACATTGTCTCCTTTCTCGTACTCTTGACTTTCGAAAGAAGTGGTATCATACCAATGTCCTCGAGGAGGCACAGAAGCAGAAGCTGGAGGCTGTCCGCAGGGCGGCTAACATGCGCGCGCATCTACGGTCGGTTTTAGACCCTCGTGTGGAATACGTCTTTTGCTCAGCGGATCCCGCCACAGATGCAGAGGATGCGATCACTCGACTGTTCGGCGTTTATGTGATCGGACCCCGGCCACTACACAAGCTGAGGTTGACGACTGAAAAGCTTTCCGATCTCGCTTCTTGGCTCCTCAAGAAATTCCGGTGGGTACGTATTGCACTCGAAATCGTGCTCAAAGTGGAGGCGCTCGTGTGCCCGCGATGCGGACGATTTCTGTGGTGCTCCAGATGACGAAGATGGGTGCGGCGGCCCCGGAAACTTTTTTAGCTGTATTCCTTACAGTCGAACCACAACGAGGTGGACGCGCGCTTGAAATGCCATCTTCGATATGAGTTGGTTATTCCTAAGCACGTCATGGCCTTCTTTGGATTGTGCCCTAAGGACGTATGGGTGATCCCACACGCTCCCACGAGTCTGTGATCTCTCACATGTGACCGCAGTAGCTCAAGGCCATTCGGCTTCCCTGGCTATTGACGAGAAGCGCGGGCATACGACGACACGATACGTCATGATCCCTCTGATCAAGCAGCCACGACGTCTGGGCAGTCTTGCCAAAGAGGCACTTCAAAAATCCCAAGAGTTCTCGAAGTCGGGGTTCCCCGCCACTTCACAAGACACTGGGTCTGGCCCTGCTGACGACGTCAACTCACAAGACGTTCCACCTGATAGTGAACACCACCATTCTCGTCTAGAAGACGATGACGACTGGGTCAATCCGCGCCCCGTACCCTTCGAGCTCTTGAGGACGAGTTCCGCCGCGATCGGGACTTCGCTGAGTATGCTAGGGTCGCATACCGCTGCGCGGAAGACTTATGAGCTTGAAACACGTTGTGCTCTGGCCACTTCACTTCGAAGACGATCGCGCTATGTCGGAGCGGCTCCAAGCCGTTGAGCAAATGAATGCGTCGTTTCATGCAAAGGTGGAACGCTTGGCGCCATTGGAGATGTAGATCATTGCATTATGTGCATTAAACTAGTTGTTGGTCCAGCTTCTGGGTGGTCGAGCGCCTGTGGGCGCCGCTTCGGAGCCAACGCTTCCGCGTTTAACTTGCCCCGGATTTCTGGTACGGTTTGACCAAGCGCACATAAAGCACAGGGTGGGTGCGCATCCGTTTTCGATGGTTTAGCGAGTATGCAAGGCCCCACTTGGCCACAAACTTAAAAAGTCGACAAACCGTGGATGGAGCTATGTCTTAACGACAGCATAAATTGCATGGGTAGAAAGATATTTAGCACTTAGTGAGACCAGGTCTCCCATCTCAAAGTTGTTAACATTTTCTCTACCTCATCCGTCTGCATATTATCTCTGCATGTCTTGGCTTTCAGCCATCGCATCGCGAACGTGTCGTAAGACACGATTCGACTTCTTAACGAACAGTGCAAAGGCTGACATCAGCTAGCCGCTCAGCTATTCCTCTCCATCAAGTTATGAACCATGGGATGGCGGCGTCAGCGGGACCAGAGGATGAACGAGCCCGTTCACATAGAACAGCACGTAACCGGCAGACAAATACACTGCATTGTTCAGAGCAAACTTTTAGAGTGGCAGCATGGCGCTCCAGCGCCTCGTAGTCACAACGCCGACGCTGGGAAGGACGTCTTCACCGATGCGATTCACGAGCTCAGTTTGACCATCGGTCTGTGGATGGTCTGCTATTGACATAACCAGCTTGGTGCCCAGTACCTTTATATCGTTGATCAAAGTTTCCCAGTGAAGCGTGGAATTCTGTCAGAGATAATTGACTCCGAAGTCCATGTTGTCGAAAGACACGAATCCCAAACACCGTCGCCGTACCGACAATGTCGATGGTTTCCAGCACTACAGCAAGATGAGACATTCTACTCAAACGCCCCACAAAAATTACAACACCCGTGTTGCCTACAGAGTTCTTCGGCAGGCCGAATACAAAGTCCAAGCTCATGGACTGCCATCAACCGAAGGGTACCGGTGAACTGGCCTGTGGCGCCACTGTATTAGAAGAGAGTTTCACCCTTTGCCACGTCTTATACGTGCGCACATATGTACTGGTCCATTTGTACAGCTTGGGGAACCGGTAGTGGCAACCCACAGAGCTGTGCGTCTTCTCACGACCGAGATGACCACTGAGTAAGGTCATTGAGAGTACGGTTTTTCAAATCCTCATCGTGAGGAACCACAATTCGCGGCGTTTCCGTCGAGTTGGTGCCATAATCCAGCAATCTATTATTCAATGAATATCGGCGCAACCGTGCGCGCAGTCGTGACGACAACTTTTTGTCCGAGTTTCCAGACTCCTTGCTCCCGAAAGCCCGTAGCAGCGCTACGCACATATCATCGCCCGCGCACGCGGCACGGATCAAATCTGTCACGGAGGACCTCTCCGTCGTGGCATGAGCAAGCTCATTATCTAGTCTGCGTGACAACACAGCAATCAAAGCATCCTGCTTTTCTGGCTAATACATCACCTTGAACTAATATTCTGCAAAGAAGGAGAGCCACCTGGCCACCCTCTGCGAGAGGCAGGGCGACTGAGTCGCAGTGCGTAAGGACGAATTATCTGTGTAGATCAAAAACGGTTTTGAGCCGACTAGGTGAGCCCTGAACTTGACAAGTGCATACTTTATCGCAAGCAATTTCTTGTTGTGAACTGGGTAGTTTTCAAGCTAGTGAGATTCGAACGCAATCACCCGATCTCGCCCCTCGGCGTCTACTTGCAGCAGTGCGCAGCCGATCGCAAAGTCTGAAGGGTCAGAGACGACAGAAAGGTCAATCAGGGTCTGAAAGCGCCAGTATTGGTACATGAAGAAGGCTGGTTTTGACCTCGTCAAATGCCTCCCTATGCTCGGCCATCCGACATCATTCCGCATCTTTTTCAAGAATGGCCATGCCTTTCTTGCGTAGTTCTAGCTCTTCATGTTCAAGTAGTTGGCAAGGCCGCGCCACTTGCGCAATTCGTTTTGGTTCTTCAGAACCGGTCAGTTTACAATGGCCTTCACCTTAGCGGGATCCGCTCGAAGGCCACGCTTCTCGATAATGCACCCTAAAAAGGAGATTTCTTTAGCGTCAAAAATGCACTTGTCTGCATTAGCATACAGCATTTCGTGCGCATGCACTCGAGCATTGATCTTAAG